GAACCTAAGAAGTCCCTTAGGACTTCACTTTTATCGGTAGTGCTTTTAACAGGAGACCATGCTGTAAGTGATTCATACGATCTGGGAAACATTTTCTCTACTTCCATTTGTCTTTCGTTGGAAAGTCCTTTTGATTGTTCTAATTCCCTCCTCAGCTTTTGGCGTCTCTGTTCCTTTTTCCTGGGACACTCTCACTTGTGACCTTCACATGGCTCACTTCTTCCAATTCTTCAGCCTTGACTGTAGGAGGTCTTTTAAGAGTCCGACTTGAAACTCAGTGTTATCTATTATGTGGCTGCCTCTTTCTCGCGATCAGAAGCCCAAGGTCAGTAATCCTGTCTTATTGATCTTTGTATATCCGATAGTAGCTGATATCATGCCTCTTATACACTAGGTACTCAGTGTCCTAAGCCATTAGCAGTGTTGTAAATTATTATTTACCAATAGTATTTTTAGGGCCACTGTCATAGAAAGAAAATCCCAGGAGTATAAATAAAAACAATGCAAGCATCAGTACTGTAACTAGAGATCTGGGTTCTAGTCCCAGCTAAGTCTATAACTACAGAGTAATTTGGGGTTTTATTTACTCTGAACCCCAGAATTCAAAAACCTAAGTTATTGGGTGACAGAGCCTTTAGAATTTCCTCATGTTCTAAGCTTCCTTTGTCCATTGGCATCTATTCTAAAATTTCCCAATTTAGATTCATTAATCTTCTGCTGCTGCTTTGACTCTGAACCAGCTGCCTTTTTCTCCTTCGGACCCTCATCAGGTAATTCAGTGCATACAGGGTTCAGAAGGGTCAAGGCTAAAAGAAGTAAGACACTGCAACTCGGAAGGTGATCTCGGGCTTAACAACAGGATCGGAGAGGTCAGATGCAGACGCGTTCTCAAGAGTCCTCAACAGAATGAGTGGGAAGACCTCTCTGGAGAAATCAGAAATCCTTAAAGAACATTTCTCAACATGGAGAATGTGTTTGCTCTCTGTTACAGGAGACACTAGTTTGTAAGCAGTTAATAGCCTCCTGGCAGTGATATGGTACCTTAGTTTCCAAAGTAGGTCATTTCATTGCACTCCTGTGTGGAACAGTTCCTGTAGACTAGGACTAACTTCTTGCAGAAAATACAGAAACTAACGCATTCCTTTTGATGTTTCCATAGCCATTTGAAGGAGTGTTTTCCTAGGAAGCTCTGGAGTGACCACTGACCATGATCCAAAAGACTGAAACTCTGAGAGTCTATGCTTAACTACTTTCTAGGTTGTTGTGGGACAGAAACTTTTAAAATGGTGTGCTCTGAAGGGTATACAGAGCTCTGTCATTGCCCGATACAATATGCTGAAAGATGAACTGTTTTTTATTTTTGAAAGTACTAGCAGTGTAAGTATTTTCTTGCTGCCCAACTCACAGGAGAGTTTTATTGACAAGTAAGATTTCGAACAATTTTAGTATTCGCATAAGTGTGTCATAATTTGTTAAAGCCATAAAACAGTTTGTAGCAGCCTGATTTGTATGCCATTTGACTCAAGGGATCATGACAATTCCTTAAAAAGCAACTGTAGACATCATTATTCTGTTCTCCATTTTAAAAATCAAAGTAGTACATACTAAGCAGCTATTTTGCTTAGAGCATTTCTTGTTCTGATAAAATTTTGTTGATCATCCTATGACATTTATTTTAAAGTGAGTGAAATATTTCTTTTCTTAGGATTTTCTTTTGCGATTAATTTTTAAAATATTTATTTATTCATTCTTATTTAAAAGGCAGAGTGAGATAGAGGTTGAGAAAAAGAAATGTCTTCCATCCATTGGTTTACTCTTCAAGTGCTCATAACAGCTAAGCCTGTGTCAATGCCAAAGTGGAAGCCTGGAGCTCAATCCAGATATCCCATGTGGTTGAGTCATCACTGCTGCCTCCCAGGTGTGCGTTAACAGGAAGTTGCAGAGAAAGCAAAATAGTTGGGTCTTAACTAGCGATGCAGGTATCACAATTGGTGGCTTACTTTATCAAGGAATTGCCCTTGATAATATAAAATATTATACAACATATGTAATATAAAATATTGATATGAATACAGAATATTTATATTCCAGGAATGAACGCAAAGAATCTACCTAAATATTCAGGGGTTGGCATTTTGGCATAATGCGTTAAAGCACTCTTACAATGCTAGCTCCCAGATAAGCACCATTTCAGTACTAATACATTCAGGAAAGCAGAGGATGATGACCCGAGTACGTATTGCCTCTGCTGCCCAAATGCCACCTGAATGAAGTTCCAAACTTTTGGCTTCAACCTGGCCCAGCTATTTTTGTGGCTGATTATGAGTCAACTAGTGGATGGAAGATTTTCCTCTATGCTTCTCTTTATCTGTCACTCTGCCCTTCAAATGAATAGATGAATAAATAAATAAATAAATACTTTAAAAAGTATGATGTTGTTTATTCTTAAGCTCACTCTCCTCAGGGATAGTGATGTTTTAAAGGTTAAGGCAAACTAAGCAGCGTGATTTGTACTTCTCTTTTCCCCTCTTGCTTAGATGTTCCTCTAACGGGAAAGCAATGAGCTCACACTTTCTAAGCATGTTCAGTAATGAAGTGGTAGCCCTCCACAGAATGTTTCAGGATTGCAGGAAGTGGTTGAGGGTTATTCGATAGCTGGTTTTCTCCCTTTGTGCTTGCATCAACCTGGGCTTCACTACAGAACTGGGAAATGTTTGTGCTGGAAGCGGTGACTTTGAGAAGACATGCAAAAACCAAGGTCTCGGTTGCTTGTGGTCACTAAATATATACCGTAATGCTTTCTGTGAATTGCAGAGGGATATTGTTACCCTTTCTAAATTTGTATTATTTCATTCATCCATATTTTTTCAAGTAATTTGAAGGTTGTGCTTCTCTCTCCCTCTTTTATATAAACAAAAATATAATGAGGTATAAGTGTAATTCTTTGCCCTATAATAAAACTGTTTTAGGAATGGACAAAACTGATTCTTGTCAAGGAAAAAGATTATAAACTAAAACTTAGTTTTCCTATAAAACAAGCAAAAATAATTGAATGTTTTCTCTTATTGTTGGTAGACCTAGCAAAGTTTGTCAATGTTTTGTGACACTCTCTTTAGAATATTTCCTTTTGAATGCTTTCAATTCATGTAGGATAGCAAAATATAAAATGTCTCCACAGCAGTCCATTCAGACTCTTTTCATCTTACGGTCTGTTTCTTGTAGCACTTGTCATATGTCCTCACACAAACATTGCAAACTTACACTCACATACACACACACACACACACACACACGTTCCTTCCCTTTCACTGCTCTAAAAATGGTCAGAACAGAATCATAATGCACAAACCATTCTTTGAATGTTTCCTTATGTTAGATCAGTTGCTTCTAAGTTCTGCGCTTGTTAGTGTTAAATTTCTTGCCAGGGCAATAGTCTATTTTTAACAATTTTGGGGCTTATTCTGTGTTCCAAATCTAACAAGCATTCTCTATAGAACCTGAAAGCAAGAAAACTGACTGGGGGTACATAAAAATCAGGAGCATTAGGATTTGTAATATGTGTGGAGGCAAAGCTGCAAACGGGAGAGATCAGTTAGAAAACTTAGAAGAACAGCACTTTCATCTCTATGTATTTTTGTACTCATCATTTTCTTTGACTAAAGTCATTAGAATCTCTGTCATGTTCTTCCGAAGGCCATGGAAACAGTGGTGTTTATTTTGCCTTGCCAGTATTTGGGCACATTTGAACATGTCCTACCAGATGATAGGTGTTAGGTCACTGTTTTAACACAGAAGATTTTAGCTTGTGGTGTTATCAACATCATATCAACTCAGTGTCATTTCTTCAATTGCAAATTTCATATACAAATGAGGACTGAAGGATTTATTTTTGTTACTTATTAGCACATGTTTAATTCAGAGTTTAATAGAACATCTTCAAGCCTGAAACAGAGGCCCGCTGAAATGTCAGACCCAAAAAATTGGACACGGCCTTCTAGCCCAAGAAGAACATGTTGCCAATTCTCTCCATGTTTATTTAAATATTTTGCTCTAAAGGAGGCAATCATTCCTTTATACTTCTTTAAATTTAGTATTGACATTTTTATTTTGGGAAAGGAGGTCTTTTTTTTTTTTTTAAACATGGATACAGGAAAAGAAAACTCTCCAATAAAAATATTGTCTAAAAAGTTTGTTTTGTCTGCATGATTTACTAAATATGTACAATTTCAATTCACAGCGAAGGTAACAAAGATTTAAACAGCCAACATCACAAATGTCTCAAGTTCTAAAAAAAAATCACTGTGCACAGTTTAACAATTTAATTGAATAGAAACCAAAGCTAAGCCTTCAGTCTTAATCTTTTCTTATGATGGGCACAAGCCATGTATTTTCTTCATCTTTGTTACACAATGCATATTGCAGTGACTAAAAAACCCCTTCCCATTTTAGTATATTAGGTTATGTCAGTACATACTTAAGAGAGGCACAAATTGCCTCATGGTACACCAGTATGATTCATGATGTGTTCACATAGATGTTGTCATATTTATTAATCTATAAAATGATCAGATGAGTCACCTGTGACTTTTTAATGTCTTTAAATGTAGGAATGTTTTTTTGCATGTATAAATTTTCTTAAAAATTTATGGACGTGCTTGTTTAAGTGATAATAATTTGACCAGTGTTGCCTTGATGTAATGTGTCTGGAAAGAACTATTTCACTCTTGAAATATAGATATTTCACATCTCTACCCAACTCAGGCTTTTAAAGTTTTCTGTTACATGAATCTGAATGTTGTGGTCATTCTGATATAATGATCAAATGAGTGAAAGAATTAATAATTAGAAACAAATGTCATCAAAAACAGAATAGTTGAGTTACAGTTTAGAAGAGAGCCGTAACTTCAGCTATCCTATAAAATATATAATAGGTTGTTTTCACATATATATTTTTTTCACATAAATTCTTTGGTGTTTTCCCCCATCTTTTTTTTTTTTAG